GGGGCGCTCAGCGGGGGGCGGCGAAGGTCACGTGAGCTAGAGGGGGGCTGCCGGAGGCAATGGGCCTGTGCAGCCCCGCGCGTGGCGAGAATCCCCGCTGCCCTCTCCCGGGGAGCTCCTCCCTTTCCCGTGCTTCCTGCCTCCACCTCAACACTTCCGAATTGTCCCCCATCGTCGTTATGTCAGACACGTTGTTTAATGTGCATGTGCAGCCCCGCGCGTGGCGAGAATCCCCGCTGCCCTCTCCCGGGGAGCTCCTCCCTTTCCCGTGCTTCCTGCCTCCACCTCAACACTTCCGAATTGTCCCCCATCGTCGTTATGTCAGACACGTTGTTTCCAGCATGAACTTCAAGCCTGGTGTGGGAGCACCTGACAGACTGACACAGCAGGTTACCGTAGCTCACGACACCCTCTCCGTGTTTACTTAGCCTGTGCGCTACAGGATAAACTTCAACAGAACTGGTCTGGGAGCACTTTATAGACTAGCAAAACACGTAGAGGGTGTCATGATCCACGGTAACCTGTTTTGTTAGTCTGTAAGGTGCTCCCAGACCAGGTTTTGTTTAAGTTTATCCTGTAGTGTACAGGCTAACTTAGCTACCCCCTGGAGCTTCTGTTTCTAGTATGTTTCTCCTAATAATGCAGTTTTTCCCTCAAAGAGGGCAACTGCTTTGCACCCTCTTTAGCTTTGCTGGATTAGAAGTGGTTGAATGTTCCTGAATGGAATTATGATTTCCCACAGCATAAAAATCTGTCATTGTTATTTGGGTAGCTCTATTAAAATGCTATCTGTGAAATCTGTTCTTTACCAAACTCAAAGGAAAACTTAGGTAGGCCAGTGTACTATCATGTAAAATATCATATCTCTGTCAGTGGTGCAACCAGATGCTTCAGAGGAAGTGTAAGAGAGAATTCATGTATTGAAGGCTCAAAGAATTCCCTGCTTCAAGGCAGTTTCTTTTTTACCCATTGTCACCTCCTGGCTTATACCTGAAGTATGAGGGTTCTTTTTAATCTTGTAAATGTGGCTATTCTCATTGGCTCATAACCTCAGAAGTGGAGTTAGGTGCTTAAATATCTTTGAGGATCTGGGCCATTATCTAGCTAAGGTCTTGGCTTTTGTCATATGGTAATGAGTTGAGCAGACTGCTTGTACCTTATCTTTTTTTTTAAATCTTGCTTTTCAGTTTAATTAAATGGCCCTTTTATTTGTATAATTTTAGAGAGGGGAAAATGGAACACCTGGTTTGCCATCTTCAGGCCATACATTGTTTTGTATACCCCAGACATACTGCTTCTTATTTGTCTGCTCTATAAATCAAACATCTTTTCAGTCTTTCCCTGGCTTCTTTAGCTTTTGCTGCTCATCAGTACCACCTGCTTTGTTGCATCCTTTTTGAGATAGGATGACTGAGTGCAAACATTGCATTTTTGCCTCCCAGTCTTTATATATCCTGACATTTTGTGAACGCCTTTGACTGCTGCTATAGGTTGAACAGTGGTCTGAGCTGTCCATTGTAATGCTCATGACTCTTCCCTGAATAGCTGCAACTAATTTAGAAGCTAGAAATGACTGAATTAACATTCCTTTCAGTATACAGTACTTCTCATTTTCAACCCTAAGTTCAGTCTGTCACTTAGGGATGAAAGCAGCTACTCAACTACACGCTCCCCCCCGCTGTCTCTGCATCAGAGGCAGCAAGGGAGGAGGGAGCTGGTGCTGGGGAAGCCAGCTCAAAAGCCCCCCCCACCCGCTCTGTCTCCCCATTGCAGGGGTGGGGGAGGAGACAGAGGAAGCAGAGCCACAGTGGTCCCAGAGCTGGCACAAGCTGGGATTGCTTAGTCCTGGCTCATGCCACCCCTAGGAGCTAACCCTGCTGCAGCTCTGCATTATAAATTTAGTAAGAGCTGGACTGCCTGTAGTAAGAGCAGAGCTGCAGAGGGGGTAGTGAGTGCCCTCCCCTTATCGACTAATTGAGTAGTTGATGGAAATTCCATCGACTACTCAATTAGCTAATTAAGTGCTACTTAACATCCCAACTCTCTCTGTATTGCCCATTCAGTTATATAGGCAATCCCCGAGTTATGCGGATCCGACTTATGTCGGATCCGCAGTTACGAATGGGGCCCATCTCCCTGGTCTCCAGCAGACCAGGGAGAGGAAGCAAAGCGGCGGAGCACGCGATTACACCAGAGGAAGCAAATGCTGTACACATCTTAAAAATACCTACTGGGGTAATGGTGGGAATATCAGCCAGATGAGCTTTACTTCAGTATCACTTAAATTGTCTGAAGTACTTGAGCAGAATTTTGATATACGTAGATGCACATAAAGAGGGATCAGCAAGAGCAGCTTCTGTCAGAGGAAAACTGGCCTCTGAAACCAATTAAAATTCTGTGAGCACATTAACAGAATAGTGTCTAAATAAGAACTGATTATCTGGCCTTCCAAAAAAAATCTTTGATAAAGTCCCTCCAGAGGGCTACTAAGAAAATAAGTATAAGGCACCAGGTAAAGTAAAGTGACAAATTAGAAACTAGCAAAGTGATTCTTCTTTCTGTTTTTTTTTCCCATGTGGCCAGTTTTACACATTGCAGAAAGTTGACACCAGAATACCACTATATTCCACAACAAGACAAGCGTTACACATATATTATCCAGAGATAGGGGCAAGAGATGAGGCAAAATTTTGCAGACACACAAATTAAACTTAGTGAAGACTAAAAACAACTGCAAGGACAATCAGAAGAACTTAAGTACAGGCAGTCCCCAGGTTACGTACAAGATAGGGACTGTAGGTTTGTTCTTAAGTTGAATCTGTATGTAAGTCGGAACTGGCGTCCAGATTCAGCCGCTGCTGAAACTGATCAGATTCAGCCACTGTTGAAACTGGACGCCAGTTCTGACTTACATACAGATTCAACTTAAGAACAAACCTACAGTCCCTATCTTGTACGTAACCTGGGGACTGCCTGTACTTAAGTTCTTCTGATTGTCCTTGCAGTTGTTTTTAGTCTTCACTAAGTTTAATTTGTGTGTCTGCAAAATTTTGCCTCATCTCTTGCCCCTATCTCTGGATAATATATGTGTAACGCTTGTCTTGTTGTGGAATATAGTGGTATTCTGGTGTCAACTTTCTGCAATGTGTAAAACTGGCCACATGGGAAAAAAAAACAGAAAGAAGAATCACTTTGCTAGTTTCTAATTTGTCACTTTACTTTACCTGGTGCCTTATACTTATTTTCTTAGTAGCCCTCTGGAGGGACTTTATCAAAGATTTTTTTTGGAAGGCCAGATAATCAGTTCTTATTTAGACACTATTCTGTTAATGTGCTCACAGAATTTTAATTGGTTTCAGAGGCCAGTTTTCCTCTGACAGAAGCTGCTCTTGCTGATCCCTCTTTATGTGCATCTACGTATATCAAAATTCTGCTCAAGTACTTCAGACAATTTAAGTGATACTGAAGTAAAGCTCATCTGGCTGATATTCCCACCATTACCCCAGTAGGTATTTTTAAGATGTGTACAGCATTTGCTTCCTCTGGTGTAATAGCTGAATTTAATGAGATTGCACTAATAAAAATATGCAGTCATTTAACTCAACACTTTTCTGAACTCTTGGATATATACTATCTCGGTCTGGTTCCTTCTGCTTTACTTTATCAGTTTGTTTTAATAGTTCTTTTTTTGATACCTCAATCTTTGTCGGCACCTTTTTATTACCTGAAAAGAATTGGTTGGAGCAGATAGCTCCTCTGCATTCTTTGTGATGAGGAGTAATGCCAAGAAATCACTACTTGTCTACAATGTCCTCCTCTCCTTAGTTGCTCCCTTTTCTCCAGGATAAAGCAGCCAATTCACAGATTCTCAAAAGATTTCTGCTGTGGCTATAACATTTTTTGTTCATGTCTTTGGCTAATAGCTCTTCAAGGGTACTTCTACACTGCACAGCTATTTCAGGATACCAGAGGTATCCCAAAATAGCTACCCTGCTCTATTCAAGCCTCCCATTATTTCAAAATATTTTTCGAAATAACAGGTGTTACGGGATGTCTCGAAATAGCTTATTTTGAAATTTGGCGCACATACACTGTGCCAAATTTCAAAATAATATGCTATTTCAAAATAGGTTTGAAATAAGATACACAATTTGCACTATGTAAATTGCATATCTTATTTCGAGTTCAGGATGCTGTGTAGAAGCACCCCGAATATTATCTCTCTACTTTTACTCGCTATAGTGTGTTCCTTTCTGATGGCTTCCCTGAGTTTGGATTTCTGTTTAGTAAAGAATATCTAATTGGCTTGAAAAGCCTCTCAAACCTTGTTCAGTCATTATATGGTGGGGTTTTTCCTTTCTTCTTGATTCCTTTTTTAGAGGTGAGGCATGTATGTGCTTTGTTATAGTTGCTTAATCCAAGGATTTTAGCTTTCTTTTGAATTTTTGTGACTTTTTTACTGGCATCATCACTTTTTAGAAACCCACTGAGTTTTGTCACTGTACTAATTTTTGGTACAATACTTCCACCCAAAGATGGTGCATGGTATAGTTAGTGGCTCGGTCATAGTTAAAACTCAGATCAACTCCTGTATGTGACTTGAGGCTTAGTCAAGGCCGGTCTTGTTATATTCCAAGATGCAAACTTTTAACATAAGAAATGGCTTCTCTTCATGGGTAGCTGGAATCATAAACTATTCCTACCTTATTGGCTTTTTGGTGTCCTTCAACTTTGTGAGCTCAATATTATTTTCTTGATGCGGAGGCTGGTGGTATTACCTTGAGTTTTGATTTTTATACATAGTGTGTGTTGCTCCATGGGTCATCTCCACTCTGCTTTTTGGAATATTTTAGGTAAAGATCTATTCCTCCATCTCTGACCTAATCTGGCTTCCTTATATATTTTATACACCGGAATTAGTATTCCAGGTCATAATTATGGGGTTTTTTTTGGTCATCTCTTCACATTTCAGTAATGCTTAGGCCAAGCTCCTATTCCATTACAGTACCACACAATGCTAGTCAATCTGTTTTGAAGATTTTTTTTCATTGCTATGTATATACATCTATAACTTGTTTTTGACCATATCCCTGTTTTTATTTAACTCCTTAATTTGGTGCACTATTACATTCTGGAAAATACCTCTGTGATTTCAACCTGCCCATGATTCATGTCAGCTGTAACTTATTTTATCGTTTACTGAATCATAGAATGAATTCTAGGACTGGAAGGGACCTTAAGAGGTCATCGAGTCCAGTCCCCTGCCCTCATGGCAGGACCCAATACTGTCTAGACCATCCCTGATAGACATTTATCTAACCTACTCTTAAATGTCTCCAGAGATGGAGATTCCACAACCTCCCTGGGCAATTTATTACAATGTTTGACTACCCTGATAGGAACTTGTTCCTAATGTCCAACCTAAACCTCCCTTGCTGCAGTTTAAGCCCATTGCTTCTTGTCCTATCCTCAGAGGCCAAGATGAACAAGTTTTCTCCCTCCTCCTCATGACACCCTTTTAGATACCTGAAAACTGCTATCATGTCCCCCCTCAGTCTTCTCTTTTCTAAACTAAACAAAACCAATTCCTTCAGCCTTCCTTCATAGGTCATGTTCTCTAGACCTTTAATCATTCTTGTTGCTCTTCTCTGGACCCTCTCCAATTACTCCACAATCTTCTTGAAATGCTGTGCCCAGAACTGGACACAGTACTCCAACTGAGGCCTAACTAGCACAGAGTAGAGTGGAAGAATGACGACTTGTGTCTTGCTCACAACACACCTGTTAATGAATCTCAGAATCATGTTTGCTTTTTTTGCAACAACATCACACTGACTCATATTCAGCCTGTGGTCCACTATAACCTCTAGATCCCTTTCTGCCGTACTCCTTCCTAGACATACAGAATGGGAAGCGACTGTGTGAAACTGATTGTTCCTTCCTAAGTGGAGCACTTTGCATTTGACGACTTCATCCTGTTTACCTCAGACCATTTCTCCAATTTGTCCAGATCATTTTGAATTAAGACCTTATCCTCCAGAGCAGTCGCAACTCCTCCTAACTTGGTATCATCTGCAACCTTAATAAGCGTACTTTCTATGCCAATATCTAAGTCGTTGATGAAGTTATTGAACAGAGCCCATCCCAAAAACAGACCCCTGCAGAACCCCACTTGTTATACCTTTCCAGCAGGATTGTGAACCATTAATAACTACTTTCTGAGTATGGTTATCCAGCCAGTTATGAACCCACCTTATAGTAGCCCCATCTAAGTTGTATTTGCCTAGTTTATTGATAAGAATATCACGGAGAGTTACCTATTTATTAGTCACTATCCAAACATTTTACAATCTGCATAGAAAGACCACTCAGACTAGAGATCTAGTATATTGGGAGACCCAGAGGGTGGCCTGAATTTAGAGCATAGCCCTTTTTTAAGGCACTAATGCATGTTGGACACCATGGCTAGCCACTAGCCGCACACATGTCTATTTGGCCAGGAGTGTGTGGCTAGTTAGCTACTGCTTCAGAGTGGGTTGGAAAGCACAGCTCTCATGCACGAGTAAGTGTGCTTTAACTGATGTGAGTTGATATTAGTGGGCATCCTGGAAGGCAGAATTTGAATGAAAGAGTAGGGTGGGCAAAGGAAGGAATTCAAGGTGTAGTCAGCAGTTCTGTGGAAATTCTGACCATAGCAAGAAATCTCAAACCCTCTTCCAATTTCACTCAATTACAGGTCTTTCTGCCTTTGCTAGTTCTTTGCACTAAATACGTTAAGTGTTATTCCCACCAACTTGATCTACATTGGGGAGATGGCAAATGTTGGGTTGAATATTTATTAGTATAGAGAGAATAGAAGAACTACTAAGGAGGCAGTGAAGTCTAGTGGATAGGGCACTGGATGGGACTCAGAGGCCATGGATTTTATTCTTAGCTGTGCCATCAGACTGCTGGGTGACCTTGGGCAAGTCTCTAACCTCTGCTTGCCTCAATTTCTCCACCCTGACCTTTTTTTTGAAAAAAAGCTCTTTGAAATCTAAGTCAAGTCCCATATAAGAGCTTTATTCTTTTTGTTGTTGTTGTGATACCTGCTCATCACCCATGAAGATGGGGATTATGAGGGAGGAATTGGAAAGCTGACTCTCTCAGTAAGGCTTGTTCACTTATTACACTTTTACTACCACATTTATCAGATCTTGCAATCTATTTAGAGTTGACCCTGATCAGCTTTTGCATAGACCTACAAGGAAACCAGAGAACACAAGAAGTGGTGGTGTTTGGGATTGTAATGATCACTCTTCTGAGTCAGCATTGAAACAGTGCTCTAGCATTGGCACAGGGTGTGCTATACTAGCTATCTACAGAATGAGTCATAAAACCATGGTCCTTGCTGCTTTATTGAAAAGCCTGAGAAATGTCTTGCAAGGATAAGGGACTGGAATGTATGTAAGTAATTACATTGTCTCTTTAAATACCTCTCCCCAAAATAGTTGATAGTACCTAGGACCTCTTTACTTCTTGGCATACTATTATCTAATGTTGCTATATGCTGTTAAACAGCTATTGGAATTCAGTAGGGGCTGAAGTGGTTTGTGTGACTTATAAAGTACTTTGAGAAGACATCATTATGTTTGTATAAAACATCACTATTAGGATATTTTACTATCTGAGCAATGCAAGGCAGCAAGCACTGGGAAAGACACTGGAAAGGAAAATGATATATCACACAGTATTCTGGAGACTGCCAGGAACAAGTGTTTCTATGTTTGCAGTATGAAACTTTTGTGTGTTCTAAGTGGTGCAAGTTATAAGGATTGCAGTTCATTTCCTGTTTTGTGTTCTTTTGCAGTCGTGTCATTCTGCCTGTGTCTGTGGAGGAGGTAAGTCCTTTTCCTGCCACTTCCTCTTAGGACTTTTGTTTTAAACAAAACTATGTTTATGCTTATAACTGAGAAACTGACAAAGTCTGGATGTGCAAGACAAATGTATCCATTTTCAGGATCATCATTAAACCGTATGATTCAGTGTTTAAGACTCAGGATTGGGTGTTGGGTTTGTGTTCCCAGCTCTTCTATTGACTCGGTTTGTGGCTTTAGGCAAATCATTTAACTTATCCCATCTCTAAATTGAGGTTGATACTATCCTTCCTCCTATAAGGTGTTTTCAGATCCATCAATTACTTCTTTAAACCTGGATTTGCTGGATTGTTCCAAAGCACAACTTCCTTTTTTGTGTTATGCATTCATTTTTCTTTTTACATAAGGAAATTTTAATAACTCCGAGGTTCCTCTTAATCTGGGTTTGTTTGCACAGCAAATTTAATTGTTTAAAATATGTTAATTAACAACATTAAACATTCAGTGTAGACGAGGACTGTTTAAAATTGTCAGGGTCTGTGGTCAATCCTGTTGTCCACCATATAGTTAACCATGACCAGCTGTAGTGATTTTTAAACACCGCAGTAGGGATGTGAACCTGATCCTAGAGATGCGAACAACTAGTCGCTTTCCTCACCCTTGCTGCTTCTATCAGAAAGAGGCAGCAAGTGGGAGGAGAGGAAGGGGTGCTTCAAAGCAGAAGTGCCACGTGGAGCCTGGGGCCGGATGGGAGTTCTCAGCTGGCCCGGGCTGTATGCGGCATTTAAAAGTGGCAGCACTGTGTGGAACCTGGGGTCAGTTGGGGATTAAAAGTCCCCAGCTGACCCCGGGCTCCATGTTGTGCTGCCGCTTTGAAATGTTGCAGGGAGCACAGGACCAGTGAGTTCACCCTGTGCTCCCCGCAACACCTCCGTCTTTTAAGTGTAGCAACAGCCCTGGAAGTACCCTATCGACTAATCAAATACTCGATACAAATTACATCGACTATTCTATTAGCCAAATAATCTAAATTTTACATCCCTGCCTGAACCTGTTCTCTTTCTTTATGGCAACTGTGCAAAGTAAAACTTTTGAAGACTTTGAAATCCTGCCTCTGTGAAAGGCAGTTGGAATGTGACTGCACCTAGAAGATTGCCTCAGAATTTGGCATCTCATTCCCACATACTGACAAGTACTCAGAAAAGCAACAGAAATGGTCAGGGGGAAGAGAATGAGTTATAGGAAAGATGGAAAGAGTTAATGAAGCAATATCTTGATTAAGCAGTATTTGGCAGCCGAGATGATTCTGCAGGTATCCAAAATACGTAAACATCCAGATGGAAGGGGAGTCATTTAGGAGTATGCAAGGGGGTATAATTAGGAGCAAAGGAATTTAATCAATGAAAGGAAAAAGTAGCCTGAATGTGAGGAAACCCTTCTGGTAGCAAGACGATGCTAGCCCTGAGACTATTTGGAGAGAGCCAGATAGTCCCAACGTAGACGTGCCAAAGGGCTAGAATATGCTCTGCCCCCTGCCCTCAGGAGATTGGATTTGATGGAACTGAACAGGGCTTATGCTTCTTTAAGTTTCTTGACACTGGGATTCAGCTTTACCAGGGTTAAGTGAAACTATTGCTGGTGTTTTATTTCTCTCCTTGCTGATTTATTCAGTTTAATGTATGTTTAGAAATGTAGGTTGTCTATGTGTAGAAAGTAGGGATGTAAAATTCTGATTGATAAGTTAAACGTTAGGTTGACCTAACGTATAACTACTTAACCGGTTAACTGACTAAGTGGAATCTCGGGGGTGGATGGCTCCAGGATGGTTGGAGCAGCTCCCCCAGCCCGCAGGGCTCCTGCTCCCAGCCCTATGCGGGGCCAGGGCTGACTCCTGGCCCCAGCTACATGAGGCTGGCTGCCAGGGCCGGTTCCTGGCTCCAGCATGCAGGGGTTCAAAAGGGCTGGAATCGCCATTTGCCCGTTGCAGATCATAGGCAGAGGGCTGCTCCTGGGAACTGATTAACCGTTACCCGGTAAGCATCCCCTGGTAAGGGGGATGCTTACCCAGTAAGCAGTTAACTGGTTACCCGTTCACATCTCCAGTAGAAAGTGGAGACTTCAGGCAATGTAAAGACTTCTGTCTTTTGACACCCTTTGTGTCTGAGAAGGTTGTGTTCTGAGACTGAGGATGCCCTGTAGTCGTGAGCTTGTTAATCTGGAGTGAAGGAATACAGAATTGCAGTGCGTTCAGTTCCAGTGATGTAACCGGGTAACCAGTTGCCTGGTAAGCACCATCCTTATTGGTGTAACTGAGTGATGCTTACCATTAACTGGCGCCTGGCCTGGCCATGGCCATGGTACCGCATTGGGCAGTTAATTGGTTAAACATAAAGTTTAACTGGTTAACATTTTAAATGGGATTTTACATCCTTATTCAGTTCTAAATCTGTTTAGAAGTCTGTAATGTGAGGAGCAGGTGGGGGGCTTTCCTCATTGACTTCTTGCTGCCCGAAAAGAGAATAGAATTTCAAGCAGTTACATCCTGAGGTGATATCAAGTTGATGATACTTTGGGTTGCCCAGTTAAATGCTGTCTTGGGATAGACCTCCACTATCCCATCCTTGGGATGCCCTCCCTTTGCAATGAGTGATGGCATTCTGACATAATTGGCAAAGACTGTCTTGTAATCTAGCCTGGCTGATAAGCACATCATGGACCCAGGTCCTGTCCCTTCTTGTTTATAAGAATTTGGTGATGTTCAAAGCCACAGGAAAGTGAACATGATTACTGTTGCCTCTCAATCCCAGGTGAAGGAATGCTTACTTGTTCATGCCTGCCAAGGTTGATGGGCCCTCTACTCCTAATCCTGGGAGAGAGGATGCTGGCTGGGCTATTTGCTGCTCTTAGGGCTCAGTTTCCAGGCTGCAGGAAGTATATTAACTCCTTCATCTTTATTGCTATTGTAGATTCACCCTTATGCACAAAGCTCTCATTAGACTCGTGATACTGTTTTATGGATTTAGTGATTGGCAGATTTGAAGTACAAATGGATTAATCAGATGAGAATTTAATTCCAACTTCAGTTTAATAGATGGAAATCTATCCTGGCAGCTGGACACCCAGGGTACATCTAGACTACAGGCTTCTGTCGACAAAGCTTCTGTCGACAGAGAGCGTCTAGACTACATCCAGTTCTATTGACAAAGCAAGCCACTTCGTCAACATGAAAGTGTAGACGCAAAGGACAGTGTAGATGCAATAATGCCTTCTGTCGACAGAACTCTGTTGACAAAAGGCATTATTCCTCGTAGAATGAGGATTACAGCCGTCGACAAAATTGCTGAGTTCTGTCAACGTTGGGTCGACAGAACTCAACGGCAGTGTAGGCGCAGGTATAGTTTTGTCCACAAAAATCCACTTTTGTCCACAAAACCTTGTAGTCTAGACTGTAGTCTAAACCCTGTAGTCTAAACCCTAGTGTGCTAACTGCTGCCTGAGAGCCATTGCCAATGTATGTGAAAAGCTGATGTGGTATTGAGGCATTGTGGACTGGAGCAGGGAAGAGAGAGTTGGTCTATATGGTTCTTATATGATGCACTTTGAATTTTGTGTTCCTCTGGGCACATAAAAGTGGAGAGAGCTGAGAGAAAACAACCAGGGGAGGATTTGGGGCTTCTGAGGAGAAAAAAAATAACAGCTGAATACTAAATAATTTGCCCAAATGAGAATGTGACAATCTATGATTCAAGGACTATAAGTATGAATAAGGTGTGAGAATTTAGGCTGAATATCAGGAAAAGCTTCCAGAGTGTGGATCTGTTGGACCATGAGTCTGCTGAATGTAGACTGGAAAAAAATTCTGGGTTGTAGATGCAACTTTCTGTTGTCAGGGAGCAGATAAGTTCTCCTGTGATGTCTTTCTGTGAATCTCTCTCTTTGGTATTGGCATATTGGACCAACATCACTTTACTTTTCATCTAGCTGTTTGAGCTCTTTACGTTTCTAAGATTTGCAATATTGGATGCACAGACTTGGCCAGCTGTGTGTGGGTGTCTGACCAGCTGCTGCTTTGAAAGTGTTATGGATTAAAGCAGTGTGCATACAGGTTCTCTGCCGCCTCCTTGTTCCTCTCACATGGGAAGGAGCTTGCCAAACATAAAGGATTCTTTTATTTCCGTATTAAGTTCTAAGCTGCTTCTAGGGAACAGCTTTTTTCCCCAAAGAGGCTGGCTGTATTGAACTCCATGGACAAGGTCAGAATTCTCCTAATACAGTGGACTCTGATCTCTGTGTGAGAGGTCTTAGAGTGCAGATTCTGCAGTAGATTGTCTGTGGAAGTTGAGAGAGCTCTCAGGAATCCCAAAAGCATGTTTGTGTATTGTGTCTAATCTTCTGAGCCGTTCTAGGAATCACTCTTTTGAAGGGCACTCTTTCTTTTAACCTACCTCAGCAGATTCTCTGGGATCTGCTCGAATTTAACAGACAGGTTTATCTGGATATCCTACCTTTGTATGAATGGGATTAAAGGATCAGAAATACCAGAGAAGATTAAAGGGTGAAGATGCCAGCCCAATTGGCTGATTGTCTTAGGGCTTGAACTTTGACTTGTATACCTAAGGTGGAATGACTGAGACTGTTACTGAAAGGGATTAATTTGCACTTCCCCAAGACCTGTCCTAGAGACACACGGCAGAGCCATTCTGTCTGGTCATCTTTCCAGTGCTGACTTGCTGAGTTGATGATGCTTTCTCTAGCAAAGGAAATACAAGATATTCTTCTCTGAAATGAACTCCTGTTTCATAACTCCACTGAGTTCTCTGTTGGAGAGAACTGTATGTTCTGCTTTTATGGGCCAGCCTCAGGAAACCATAGGGAACGTAGTGTGTGAAAAGTCAGAAGATGGGACATTCTGACATGGGGGGGGGAGGGAGGGCCCAGGCCAATGGTGGCAGTGAGGGAGCTGCAGCAAAAATTGCATCTGAGGGAAGGGCTCTGACTGAACTTTCCATTTCACTACACGGGGA